GGGGAGAATCGCCCAGATAAAGAGCCACTAATCCAAAAAAAGAAAAGTTTGAACTTTGCAAAAAAAAAAATCGAAATAATAAAATCCTGAGTTTTGCAAGTTCAGTAGGTCTCCCAACCTCCTTTGAAGTGCGAAATGATCAATGAGAGAAAAAAAGTTCGACTTCAGACTGCAAATGATTTATAGAACTGACTGACAGAATCCCAGAACTACGAAAAAAAATTCCCCGAAAGAAATAAAATATTCGGACTTACTCAGATGAGAGTATTCGCAGTTTGGAAAATAATACCTGCAGGAGGGATTTCACGTACCGTTTTCAGAAAAACGAAATTCGAAAAAGAAGATATTCCGAATTTCTAAGTAACGGGAAATGCAACAGGAAATCGAAATTTTCGAAAAGAAGAATATTCCGGATTTTTAACAACGAAATTTCGAATTTTCAGAGGAAAAACGAAAATGGGAGTTTCAGATGTTGCGCTATTACGATTTTCCACAACAGAATAGCGAGAAAACAAAATCCATGAAAAGAAGAAAAAAAATCGATTTTCGGCAGTAAGGTCAAAATCGTGATCTTGGGTTCTAACTAGTGTGCTCTAATCAATCAGTAAAGACTAATCAACTATCTAGTCCCCGCACACGTGTCAGATCAGGTTGACCTGATTCACGTGCGGCGTTCCGATACCAACTGTTACATGCCCAGTTGGGCGATGTACATAGAAACCGAGGATCCGCAATGTGATGAAAAGGACTGAATGGACAATGCAGTGCAAGTAGAATCTCAACAAGCAATGTGCATTCTAATACATACAAAATGGTGCTGAATAGCGCAGGGAAGACTTAAATACAAATCTTGACCTGACCGGGACTGACCTCATTCACATAGTATCAGATAGCGAAGCAGAATGCTAGAATGCTAATGACTAGCCCAATCAATGTTTGAACGCAGACCAAACATACATCGTATCCATCACCAGGTGTGAAGGAGCCTGGCGCTGTACACAGGAAGAAAGCGCCAGGTCCAGACGTACACAGACGAGGAGGAGGGGATCAGACAAAAGGAGGGAGAGAGATGGGAATGTCGTCAACACCAAGTCTTTGTCACAAGTCCCAAATAATCCCTCGTTGCAATGTCTGAAGTCCAAAAGTCGAGTCTGGATCCAATGCCACCAAGCTCTTTCTCTCTTCTCTCGTAGTCTGCAGATGCAGTGAAGTCAGATGATGAGAGGGTGAGAGGGAGATGGTGGACTGAGAAGAGGAAGAAGAAAGAATTCTCTCTCTTTCTCTCTGTTACGAGCCAGGAACTAACCTGTGATGTTGGCGCTGTGCTGCAGGTACCTCGAAGACGAAGCTGGAGCAACGGCGCTGCAGGTAAGTACCTCTGGCCTCCGCCCAATCTCTCTCTCTCTCTAGTGCTATCGTAGCTATGGCGCCCAGCGCTGGAGACTACAGCTACCTACTGCGCCCAACGTTGAAGACTAAAGGCTAACGCTACTACTACTCCTGCAGAGCTCCCTCCAGAGTGCTGCTGCCGAATCCTGAAGACTACTACTGCCTCCTGCCTCCCTGTGAAGTGCATGGGAAGTCCCTATGTACTACCTCGGCCTGCCTCCTGACTGCCTGAAGGGCGAGCCAGGCCGAGGAGGCTGCTCTTGCCAATGCCGAAGTGTGCCAGGGGCTGGCGCTGCAGCAGCTGCTGAGGCTGGCGTGGGGAACAGGCTAAGAATAGCCTGTTCCCGAAACCCTGGTTCGGTGCCTGAGTTTCATGGCCGGTCGTTCTGATGAACGACCGAAAATGGCCCTTCGTTTCAGGCTAAAAAGGCTATTGCCATTTTTAGTCTGAAACGACACAGGGACTGTAGGCCCCTATTTTCAGGCTTTTGGGCTGAACAGTCACGGGGCCTGTAGGCTCTGGTTTTCAGGCTTTAAGCCTGAATTTCAGGCTTTCAGCCTGAGGGACGCAGGGCCTGGAAAATGGCCCTCGTGTGCAGGCGCAGCATGTAACACCTGGCGCTCAACATGTAGTCTCCAAAGATGATAGCAACACCAAATCTCTCTTGCTTGCACATTTCAGAACAGCGAACCATCATGGGAAAGCAAAGCAGAGATAGACATGCAAGAGAAGAGACAGAGAGGAAGGAGAGAAGAGTTACATTAGTAATCAACAATGCAAGTATGTCATCCTCCAACTCCCACTTCGCCTTTGAGCATCTTCCACCATCACCACCTCACCAATGCATGCTCTCTCTCTCTCTGACGATCACCGATATAGTCTTTGTGCAGATTCCAGCAGAGCGCCCAACCTCCCTCCACAACCCTGGCTATGGAGGTTGGCACAGTAGTTCCTCAACCTCGTGGAGACCAGCAGCATCTACTTCCCAATCATCGTCATCACCATCAGTAGCATGGTGACGTAAGTGGATACTGCTCCGACACCAAATTGCAATGAACCCAATTTCCTTGAGAAGCCAATCAGCAATGTCACATAACTCTTAACCTGGCGTTCAACATGTAGTCTCCAAAGATGATTGTAACACCAAATCTCTCTTGCTCGCACATTTCAGAACAGCGATCATAGGAAAGCAAAGCAGAGGCAGACATGCGAGAGAAGAGACAGAGAGGAGAGAAGAGTTACATTAGTAATCAATGATACAAGTATGACGTCCTCCAACTCCCACTTCGTCTTTGGGCATCTTCCACCATCACCACCTCACCAATGCATGCTCTCTCACTCTGACGATCACCGATATAGTCTCTGTGCAGATTCCAGCAGAGCGCCCAACTTCCCTCCACAGCCCTGGCTATGGAGGTTGGCGCAGTCGTTCCTCAACCTCGTGGAGACCAGCAGCAGCTCAATCGCATCAGCAACAGGTATATCCAGGTAAGCTTCCCCCTCACAAACCTCCTCTCAATCCCACAGACCGGATCCTCTTCCTCACCCAAGTATCTCAGCTACAGCTATGGTGCCTATGGCTGCTCCACCATCACCTATTACAAGGCTGGCACCTTCTTCCAGCATCTGGCGCCAGCATCTCACCTCTCGAGCCTCGTGTGCAGCAACTTGGCCGCAAGCAAATGCAAGGCAGAATTTGTCTCCCCTCCGTCAGGTCTTCTTCTTTTAGCGTTGACTGGCGTTGACCAGCCTCCCCCTGGACCGTGTCGACGGCCGAGATTTTCCTGAAGTCAATGGCCTGGATGCACTGTTGACCCAGATGTGTCGAGTCCCTGTTGGAAAAACTTGGAACTGGAATCTTCTGGAAGCCTGCAGTCAACCTTTGATGTGCATCTGATCTACGGCCCCGGTTGGCTACTGGGAGAGTTTGACTTTCGGCCTTCTCTTCCCGTGCTGGGTCTGACTCTTGATTTGTCAAGAATCAACAGTCTGGCACAGGGTAGTGGACCCAGCATTTGACTCAGGGCGGGTACCCCACGATGCTATGACTCTTCTCAGGCCTTTCGGAGACTTTGAACGCGACTTTTGACCCCTCAGAGTGGGCTTTGACCAAAAGTTACGACCCTTGAAATTGTCTGTGCGGATTTGAACTGAGTTTATTGCAAATCTTTACCGCCCCTGAATATTGGCCTGCTCTTTTTTTTTTTTTTTTTTTTTTGAAARAACGGTTCCCTTTATTATCAGGGCCCAGTGCCCAAGGCAAAAATACAATTAAGCACAAGTTTCAAATTCAGGGGCCATAAGGCCTCCGGCTGCGTCCAGCAAGCGGAGCCCGTCCCCTTTGGAAAAGGAACTGAGAAATTGACAAATCAAAATCCAAAAGAGGAAAAAAACTTAGAAAAAGATCACAAGTCTAAAAGAGGAATTCCTAACCCTAACAAATCTAAAAGCACAACAAGCGTTGTTTACTGCCTAAAGCGGCAGAGATGAAAAAGCCACGACATGATCCATAGCACAATCCGGAACAAAGAAAAAAGGAAGAAGTGCTGAAGCTTTTTGTTTTGTTTTGTTTTGTTTTGTTTTCGGTGGGGCGTTGGGGAAGGATGGGCAAGGAGGTGGGGGAGGGGGGCGGTCTGTTATTTATTGGCTGTGTACAATGTACATAACCCTGGCTGGCAGTTTCTGTGATTTCGAAAGCAGATTCTTCGTCAAGCTTTATGGAGCCCCTCCACCAACATGGTTATCGGTCCTTATAGTCTTTGCGGTAATCATTTATAATTTTTCTGTTACTGCTCAGACTCATCGCAGTCAAAAAATGGTTTGGTTTCTCTATCAGGTCTAATAGGTCATTAGATATTCACAGGCTGATCTCAGCCGAAGCCGGGTAATGGCCCCGGTATCTTAAATGATCTCAAATGTTCTCAAGGATCTGTATAATTAGATATTGGACGCTGGGCCCGGTTCCCAGCACGTGCTGCTCCCCACGAATAGACTGGAGCATTTGTTAAAAAAAGAAATAATAATAATCCTACCCCTTAAGCGCGAGCGGCCCGCAGGGGGAGGTTGTGTTCTGCTGTGCGCCGGAATCGGGCCGAAGTTTTGATTCGGGCCGGCGGATGAAGGCGATCGAGGGAGGGGAGGTGTGCAGAGCGGTGCACGTACCGAATTGTTCACAACGCGCCAAAAAGCGAGAGACCGCACCCATCGGGCCGGTTGGCGGCAGGCGTTGATGCGAGGGAACATCTCGAAGCGCCTGCCGTCGGATAGCAAGAAAGCGTCGTTTTGTGGCACGCCCCTTTTTTTTGTTTTTCGTTCTTTTCTTTCCCTTTTCTTTTTATTATGCTGTTGTCTTCTTGGCGTTTTTTTGGCGGCCGGCGCAGGTGGCGACAAGATGGCCTTCGGTGGGAAAATGGAAAAAGAAACGTTTGAGGGCCGGCCTGCCTACCCGCCCACCAACCTACCCACATACATACATATATATATATATATATTCTCTCTCTCTGCCTACGGTTTACCGGGCAGTTCTGTTTGTGACGATATATATATATATATATATATATATATATA